TGTAACGTACTAGTAAACATATAGGAAGAATAAAAGAAAAAGAAGCTTATAATAAAAATAATGTGCATATCAATATTTAAAGTGTTCAGAAAAAGCTACATGAGAAGGCATAATATGGTAGTCAGATACTTGGGCCAGTGTATAGCATCACCATGAGTTTGACAGCTACAAAGGCAGGTGTGTTTATTGGCAACTCAGGTGCAGTGGACAGTGATGCCATTGGTGATGAGATTTTCTCATGTGGTAAACCACTCTTGGTAATATTCTGAACAACATAAAGTACAAAATCCCTTCAGTTTACATGATGGTTGGATTCCTGGGAAATTCTGTGTATGTTAAAATAATGCCAAAAATACTTTGACTGTTTGTTAAACAGATCTAAATTCTAAGCCCATCTAATTATAAATAAGTTTTTCAGCTACATGTACATATAGCTGGTGGAATATTTAAAATCCATGTAGGGTACAGAACAATTCATAGTGCTGTACTGCCCTGCAAACTGCAGGATGTCCACCACTCCAGGCCTTCTCCCAGTAAATGCTAAAAATCTTCCAGTAAATGTTTTGACCACCAAAAACATCACTGCAAATTTCCAAAATGCCCCAGAGGCCACTACTATGCCCATTGAGACCCACTGATTGAGACTGAGCAAAGCACTTTTTCATAATAAAGCACTATGATCCTGTACATTTTCTTTTAATACTGACTTGACTTTATGGATTGGGAGACCAAAGGTGACTTATCCAATACGAACAAGCCTCTCAATCCAAAGGATTAAAAAATCATTCCCTGAGAACATGGCAGACATTTAAATATGAGAAAACCCTTTATTCCCTACATTGTGGGGGCCTCTCTATATTAAGAAAATGATGTTTGGCCCAACTGGCATGGCTCAGGAGATCACAGTTTGATTCCCAGTCAGGGCACATGACCGGACTGCAGACTCACTCGAACCCCAGTGTGAGGAGTACAGGAAGCAGCTGATCAATTATTCTCTCTCATCATTGATGTTTCTGTATCTCTATTCCTTTCCTTTCTTCTCTGGAATCAATAAAAATATATTTTTTAAAAAAGAAAAGAAAATGGTGGTTTGAAAAGTGGAAAGAGTCACAATCCCTAAAAAGAGGAGCTTTTTGATCAGGGTAAAGCTGTGGTAGAGGAAACACCAGGCTCTGACTATCAGACTATGTCGTCTCCTTTAAATAGCATGGTAATGCGAAATGGACTAGTTTCCATGTCACTTACACATCATTGCAGCTTATTAATAAATGGCTGCTTTTTTTATTGGCCTAAACTTTTCTTTTTTATCCTTTTATGAATAGATAATTTAATGGCCTAGTGCAGTGGTCAGCAAACTCATTAGTCAACAGAGCCAAATATCAACAGTACTTCTTCAAAATAGACTCGCCCAGGCCAAAAACCGACTTCTGCGCATGGGCCACGAAGTTTCAATCACACTGTACATGCACCCGCACATGGTATTTTGTGGAAGAGCCACACTCAAGGGGCCAAAGAGCCGCATGTGGCTCGAGAGCCGCAGTTTGCCGACCACGGGCCTAGTGTTTCTGCCCTAGTGGGATAATTTCCTCTAAAGTGGTGTATGCTTTAAATACTAGAAAGCTGCTCTTGAAAGTTTCCATTCTCTAAGCATTGCCATGGGTGGATAGTCATATAAATTTGTATTTTCATTGAACTTTGGTCCTGAATTTTTTAAATGGTCTTAAAACATGTTCTTGAAATGTGTATATGCAGTTCCAGATGGACATGCATTTACCTAATGTAGAAATGCTATTTTTAAATTATTAAAAATCTACTTTCAAAAATTTTAAAAAGTAAGCCATTATTTCTATAAAATATTCCTTCGTTTAGGGAGAATTCTCCCTCCCCCATGCCATTCTCTGTAATTCAGTTTCTAACCCACCTTGCTTATTACTTTTATTCTTAGCAATTTCCCTTCCTCTGACAGAGTACACATTCTCATTATTTATACTCTTAAATTACAAGAGTCAATGTTGAGAGCCAGTGCAGATACTTGGTTATCTCAGGGACTTTGGTCTTTTCAGCCAAGGACTAATCAAGCAGAGAGTAATCATAAGCTAAAACTAAAAAGCCTTTGTAGTGATTTTATCACCAGGGAAATTTGTTCATCCTTCAGAAAGATTGTCACTAGAAAAGAAAAAAATAAATAAAGGAGTTAAAATTGCTTCAGACCATTGACTCCTCAGGTCCCTCTAGATTCATAGATTGAATTGGTTTTCAGGGGGTGGAAGGAATTATGAGAAGAGCTCCGTGAGATAGCTTACAAATTGATCATAGTCTTGGTAACACTAGTAAGTGTAAGTGTGATCACTATGGAGGAAATGCCAAATGAGCCTGGAAGCATGGGAAATGAGAAGGAAAAGAGACAATTAACACCTTTTTTTTTTTCTTACTCTGTTTGGGGCTAGCCATGAAGTATGCAACTGAGAATAGACTTTCAAAAAGAAGAAATACAATTGATTTTAAAATATTTTATCATCATTATAAGTGCAATTAGCAGTTATTGTTGAAATGAAACTAGAGTTGCAAGTACTATAGAAATAGGGACAGGTATTTCATAAACCTTTCCAGAAACTGGGCCTCCTTCTAGATATACCCACAAAATATTATTTAAAGTTGATATGTCTGACCATGTGTAGAACTGCTCAGTTGGGTTCAGAGAATATAAATGCCTCCAAATTCAAAATTATAATGATAAATATCTGGATGTTACATATACTTTAAAGAACTTGAAATTTTACACACCTATTGATGCAGACAGGCATATGTGTAATTTCTTATACCAAGAATTATGTTAAGACTTGTCAAAATCGCCCTAACCGGTTTGGCCTGCGGACTCAAGGGTCCCAGGTTCGATTCGGGCCAAGGGCATGTACCAAGACTTGTCAAAATCCAGTCAGTCACTTTAGGATTTGCCTGGATAAACCCTCTCTCCCATTGAATAACATTTAATTTTGCCCAAAATGAGTAAGCACATAGAGAAATGACCTCATTTTTTTTTTAAAGTCTGAATACAGTAGTGTTGGGAGATATTTCTCAAGGATATGTCTTCAATACTGGATCCTAGTTTCAAATGCAGGTTTATAAGGTGGATCTGCAAAGGAGAAGAGGATAGAGAGCATCCTTGTGAGGGGACCTATAGAGAGAGGGGCTCTTTCCTAGGGCCAGCTCCCACAGCTAAGTCACATGCACAGATTGTAGCTTTCTGCTCTCTGGTCAACTGCAGCCATAGCATCCTTATTGTTGTAACTCTGAGATTGTGATACTGTCACAAAACTGTTGCTAGGCAACAAATGTGGTTACCAGGTCTCAGCAAATAGCTGAAGGGGAAAGCAAAGTGTTGCACCATTGTAGAGTAACCATAGCAATGACCTACTATTACAGACTAAAGAATTATCATTAACAATGTTAAAGTATCAGACAGAGGCCCTGAATCTGGAGACTTCCAGGCAGTATCTCTCTGCATAATTGAGTGATCTAGGAAGAGATTTCAACTGTCTTAAAGCTACTCACTCATTATTTCTATGGGAGAGTCTTACTATTATTATTTTTTTTTAATATATTTTATTGATTTTTTACAGAGAGGAAGGGAGAGAGAGAGAGAGCCAGAAACATTGATGAGAGAGAAACATCAATCAGTCGCCTCCTGCACATCTCTCACCGGGGATGTGCCCGCAACCAAGGTACATGCCCCTGACCGGAATCGAACCCGGGACCCTTCAGTCCGCAGGCCGACGCTCTATGCACTGAGCCAAACCGGTTTCGGCATTTTTTTTTTAATTTAAAAATTGTTCAGTTGTGAATCTACTGGTGAAATGATATGAGCTATCACAAGGAGTCAAAAACAGATTAATGACCTCACCTGTTATGTCTACATCTGTTTTGTTTGCCTGTTAAACTGTAGGTAGATTTGACTTGAAAAATATTGTGCATTACTATTAAATTGAAGCCACAGAGAGAAGCTGTAGTAAAATAAAATAACCCCATAAGTTGACAAGCGTGTGTTTTGTAAGTTGGATTTCTCCTGAAAAAAAAAGGTCTAGATGCTCTTTTAGTAGTCACTGCCTTGAAACATTTTTCTTAGCTTTTCAAAAACTGCCCCCTAAAATCTGTAAAAAATAATAATAAATAAAAATGTAGCCTTCTAGGACACTTATAGGCAAAGTGTCTTTTGCATCTGGTCCTTCATTAAGCATCCCATACAGTTTGGTCTAGTGACCTCCTAACAGCACACTTCCTGAAGAGGCAAGAAAAATCCGATTTGAGTTTTCCTGCTGGAAAGCAGGGAAACATGGGTGCCCTGGGTGGGTGCAGAAGCCGCATTTCGCGCACAGGGGAAACCAATCCCCGCGCGCGCGCAGAGCCTGGGGAAGTGGGTGGTTTCGAGGCGGGAGAGGGAGTG